AACCTCAACCTAGCTGAAGATGAATGTCACCTCTTAAATGGACAATGGCCGGGGGGCGCTCTGGACTATGCTACAACTTTCCCTGAAAAATTCAATGTCTTCACCGGCCTATCTGTACATGGATAACGTCTGTTTATGTTGCTTTGCTGTGGTAGGTTTTGTGATGCCTCAAATCATGCCCTGTCTAGGACACGGCATGAGAGATATTTCTTTATACCATCTCTCCTCATGTTTTCTTCCCTTTTCTCATCTAAACAAAATATTATTCTGAATAAGAATAAGAGGGCCGTGCTATTTATAGTTGCAGCTTCGTGCACTCCGCCCATCTTTCGAACGACTGTACGTACATATTCTCGTTATATCTTGGTGCAATGACAATAAAGTTTATTATGATTCTGATTCTGAAACTGGGATCATCACACTAGTCAGTGTGTAAATCCTCACCTGCAACCTGCCATTGCACAAGGTTAGACCCACAACCAGAAAGTTCAGGTAAATCTTCATCTCTGGGAAATAAGAATGTCACTGTGGGCAAATAACACCTTTAAACCTTTTAGGTCATCACAGCTAAATTAAAAAAATATAAATAAATAAAAAACAAAAAAAAAACAATCACTTGAAATTAAAAATACAAATTCATCATGAAGAAATGTCAGACTAATGATCTGATGCACCGAGCTTCTGCTGCTGCTGACGGACTGTGGGTCATGATGGGTTAAATGGGGTCAACAGAGAGGTGGGGGTGAGGGTTTCACTGCTGTTGTGGTTTTTGTTATTTTCTCATTAAAGTTCCTCCTTTACCCTGTTGGGTAAGACCTCTGGATCGCATTGCTCCCCACACCCTGACAGATGATTTGCATATTAAGTCACAAAGTCTCGTCAACTAGATGACACAAGCCTAAAATATTTTTTGAATCCGTCATGCATTTGTTTGTTTGTAGCTTCTGACTCGTGAATAAAAACCCATGTTTAGGCCTATACTAAAGCTAAAGTTATCAGACTTGTAGTTGCAGCAATTTTTCTTTCCTGTGCAGTTTATGATGTTTGAGAGAAAATGTTTTATTGTCAGATCATGTAATGATCTTCCACTGTTTTAAAATGCAGTCATTGCTCATTTAAACTCAAGGAATTGGTCTTGGTATTTATTTTATGTTGTTGAATTATTTATTTTATTTATTTATATATTTTAATCGAAAAAGATTTTCACAATAACAAAGTCCGGATGTTTGTTATAATCGCAGTCCTTCTTTGTCACAAATGTCCCAAAAACTGTTAAAAAGTCCAAATTGACATTCAACCTTTATTTATACAGGTTTATACCATTGAGCCTCGGGGACTCATTTACAAGAGAGATCTGATTTTTTTACAAAGAGTGATGACAACAATGGATAACAACAACAACAATAGACAATCATAAAAGAGGCATTCTGATTTAAATTTTATATATATATATATATATATATATATATATTTGACTGATCTGCGCTTATACATATACAACAAATTTGCAAATGAAATGTGTCATGCAATGTATCACATATTACTGTGTCACCATCAGTTAAGATTATTTTTTTTTAAATAATTCACATAAAAAAGCACCTCAGAAAATCGTCTTTTTGTGTTCTCAGTCAAAACCAACAGTATAATTTAATTTGTGAAAACAGGACACGGGCCCAAAATTATAGGAGGAAACTTATTTGATAAAATAATTACATATCTAAGCACTGTAAAAACAAAGAACAACTGGGGGGAAGAAAAAAAAACAAACAATATCCTTATTCTTGAATGTTACAGTAGAATTCCTTGAAGCACTCTTCTTTTTCGAGGAATCGTTAGACGTCAGTTGTCTCTTGGTCTGAATCATATTGGGTGTTATTGTTAAGTTCAGACAATTCTCCTGTTGAGCCTCACCAGGAAGGCCTCAAGTAACCTTATATTTTCTTAAAAGCTGTGAGGAAATTTTTAAATAAAAAGGTCACACCAATCAATGCATCCATGTCGTGTTTGTGAGATTAGCAGCAGGTGTGGTTCCTGAGCGGGAACTCTGCTGCATGAAATGTTTCTGATGGGGAATTGGGTGTGTGTCTGTCTGTGTGTGTGGGAAGGAGGGGGTGTCCACTCAAAAACAAATGCACTTGAGAGTGCAAGAAAACATTTTGTGTTCATCTGTTAAAGCCAGTTTCAGATCTCAAAGATCATTTTTAATAATCAGACATTTTTGACCAAAATACAAAAAATGTCCCAAAGTTGAACAAAACATCCCAAATTAAACAAACGTGAACAAAATCTCTTTTTTCTGTTCAAATCGTGACAATGAAATTAAAGAAATTGTTTCTTTAATGAAGTAAACATCTAAAACAGCCAAATTAGAAGAACACAATGGGAGAGGTTAACTTCAGGAACAATTGGGCCTTACTCTTAGTCGTTGTCTTGGGCTTTATTTGCAATATTTTAGCAAAGTTCTTGCCTTTTAGCATAACTTCTTTAAATTAGGAAGAAAACTTTGTCATACATAATTTGGAGTTCACCAGTCAACTTTTTGCATGCATGCATACATACATACATATATACATACATACATACATGCATGCATGCATGCATGCATGCATGCATGCATGCATGCATGCATACATACATACATACATACATACATACATACATACATACATACATACATACATACATACATACATACATACATAAAAAATTATTTTCTTTACCTGTCACAAGATGAGATCTTCGCTTGAGAGCTCTGAAGACAACAGAGACATTAATCAGGTCAGTTACAAATCTATTACATTTTACAAATTTTGCAGCACACAGGCATAAATACCTGGATTTTGAGCCAGTGAGAAGTTAAACAGCCATTCAAAAACATACAAACAAAACTGAAATGGTAGCGCACAAACTGTAGCAATTTTATTCGATTAAATATAATAAGCTAGAGTTGCTATTTGTCTAAATAATATAAATAATAATAATAACAATGATAATTTTGCTTTGCTTGACTCATGCTTGACACAATTAAAAGGTGTTTTGCTAACTTATTAACCCTGTCTCGTCAGGAATGGACATGAATTAAAGAAGCACTTAGCTAAGTACTGATGGGTTCAGTAACCACAGAAACAAATCTTTCAAACACTCAGCATGAAAATTGTGCTGATTATATCACAAACATGGATACATGCACGGTACAATCCATCAGAGAAACTGTAAACATTTACAGATGTAAATCCACTGAACTCAACTTATATTAAAACTACACCTATATTAAAAAAAGATGAGAACATTGTTGCAGTTGTGACTCACCTCACAGATAAAAGATGGCCTCTGACCATGGGAACACCTCAGGGTCCCCCAGGAGGAGATGAAGAATGTCGCGGAGAAGAGGGGTGTCTGGATTTCTTTCCTCGACCTCCTGCCTCAGTGACCCAGTTACAGATAGAGGATGGAGATGTCTAAAAATTCACTATTGTTCAATGAGTTTTTGTTGCTTATTTTAAATTGCTGTGACAGCAATGTTAAACTGGGTTGACTTCAAAAGTTATTCAGTTATACAGTTAGTTTCAGGGACTTTCTGTAAAATCCATCTAGTGATTTATGAAATATTTTGCTAACAAACAAATGGGATTGTCCCCAAGACTTGATGTTAAAGTTTTAAGTGGTTTGAATATGGATTGTGAACGACTCAGAGCTACAACCACACCATAATGTAGCTTAAATATGTAAGATCAACTGAGTTGAAGCTGTTTTTTTTTTTTTCTAAGGTGAGCTGGCTGTGGTGGCCATCTTGGATTGGGTTTAACCCAAAGTTAACAAGCTGTACATTATTCAATCATTATCTTTGCTAGTTTCTTTAGAATACGTTCAATTATCAAGAGATAGTTTGCTAAAAGAGAGAGCTGGTTGCACTAGATGTATTAATGATAAAAAAAAAAATTTAACACAGTTGTATACTATATCAGTTATAGATCTGAAGGGAAGCTGCTGACTTCAACAAGCTTCTGCCCAAACAAGAAATCTGTGCAGTTGTTTGCATGACTGTAACTTCTGATTTATGGAATATAAGGAGTTTTTATTTATTACTTATTAAGGACTATAACAGAGCCTGGTACGAGCTGCAGAAGTCCATCAGAGCAGCAAAAAGGGCTCACTCAGAAAAACTTGAAAGCTACTACCTCAACCAAAATGTGCAGCATGTGGCAGAGAATTCAACCTGTCACAAACTACAGGAGAACCACTACAACCACAGATCCCCGAGAGGCCATCGTTCCAGACGGCCTTAACACAATCTATGCCAGATTCGACATGTTGAACACAGACACACCCTCAAGGGCATCCTGTGACCCTGCAGACACTGCCTTCCAGGTGACACACACACACACAGGTCCTGAAAGCTCTGAAGAAGTTGAACCTCCACAAGGCTGGGTGGCCTGGTGGAGCTCTTCCCAGACTTCTAAAGGCTTGTGGGGAATAACTAGCTGGAGTATTTGCTGACAAGGTAGGCCTGTGATCAGAAGGTCGCCAGTTCAACTCCCCAGATATATATACGTATGTATATACATGTATACATAAATACGCATACATAAACTCATGACATATACAAAGTGCTGCTCACAATATTTCTTAAAAACCAAAGCTCTCATATCCATTTTCAAAAGTTACTTTAATACTTTGCATTCATCTGCCAACATTTACAATCACATTTAGAGGTTTAACAAACAAATTCATTACTAAAAAGTAACAAATCACATTTGTTTAGCAGTTAAGCTGGTCTTAATCATAAACTGGTCCCAACAGTTACCTATTTTATAGGTGGAGTATCAGTGCATTATACATATTCCTTTATGAAAAACAACTATTAGAAACTGACAATCAAAAACACAGATTTGTCCAAACTTTTCACAATAAAACAAACCATTTATCAAAGTGCATTTTATGACTTCAGTTTGATGTTTCATTTCAACATCTGGTAAAATGTAGGAGCTGTTACAGCCCTCCTACTCAGTGAACAGCAGATGACCAGAGAAGAAGCTGTCACTCGTCAGTCCATTGGCACCATCTTTGGCCACCAGCCAGACTCTGTCTCTCTTCTCAAGCTTGACGAAGGTGCTGCCGCTGGCTGTGACGTATCCACTCTGCTTGGTGGTGAACGAGTGCAGAATCAGCTTCCCATTATGCAGCAGATCGATGCTGGCTGCTTCCTGGTGGATTGTGCAGTGGAACTCAAACTCATACACCCCTGGGTGCTCGCAGGTGAAGTAGCCAGTCTCAGTGTTGTAGTTGTTCTGCCCATTGTAGATGACATCTTTGAAGGAGATGGGGCTAACAGCTTCAGGGAAGTCACTGCCGAGACGTACGGAAAAGGCAACTTTCTCTTCCATGCCAGGGGGGCCGGGAGGGACTGTGTGTAAAAGCCCATAAACACACTTATGCTCATGAACATTGCACTTACAAAATGTTAAATTATACTGCAACATTAATAATGTTTATACTTCAGTAAAAAAGTAAGTATATAGATATGAGGAAGAAATTTACCTTGTGGTCCTGGGGGCCCAGGTGGACTTTGTCCTGGAGAAAATTAAAAGAAATGCACAGCTTTTTAAGAACTCTAATTTTTACACAAGTTAGATCCTTTTTTATTAAGTATTACATTAAACAGCTTATATAAATTTTGGTGCTGGAAATTCAACAGACGCTGGTCACAAATTTAAAAAGAAAGATGAGGGGAACAAATGTAGACTTATTCACCAGTGATCCCTATTGGCTGAAAATATTGTCGTGAACTTACTGTTCTCCTTCCACGGGCTGAGGTCAAATGCAGGAATTTTGTCACACTGGGTGTAACCAGAACCACGAGGCCGATAGAGGAAGGGCTTTTCAGGTACTTCGGTGATGCCAGTGTTGTCACAGATGATACGAGCCAGTGATGTATCCCTCAGTGATGCCCTCTGCGCTTCAGTGAAGACACCGTGATTCTCCCACCAGAGGCTAAAAAACGCTGTATTTTAGTTTTATATCTCTGAATGTGAAATAACACCAAGCATGACTATCCCCAGATCTTTAATATAGTTTTGTAATTTTCTATCTGCTCACCGGTCTCCTTGGCGGATCTTTTGGAACTGGTTGGAAATAAGGCAGGCAAACAGGGGTCCCACTTTTCCTCCAGTGACGAACGGCTCAGCTATTCCCCCCAGCCATGGATCAATGTTGTCAGGTGTGCCATACAGATCCAGCAATTTCTGAGCCAACTCCTTGTTGTTCAACACTGTGGCCAACTCATTCAGACTCTTGGGCTGAGACAGTCCACAGAACTTACGCCATTTGCCGTAGCCTAAAAGAGGCCAACACAGAGTTTAGGGTGATGCACAAACTACAGTAGTTTATATTATATATGCATCAGGCAATTCAGACTTATATCAACAGAAACAAATAAATACCAGGGAGTGCATGGTCTCTGCCTCTCTGCATGTTCAGTGATCCCAGATCCAATGCCAACTTCATGGAGAACTTAAACAGCCTGTCCCTCAGCTCATCAGACAATATATGATCCTGGGTGTTCAGCTTCGCCCTGGAACCCACCAAGCCCCTCAGGATTGGGTCTATCCCACCTGCAGAACACCAGTTAGAAACCTGTTAGACTTAATGGTTTTACTCACTGCTTCACAATGGGTTAGGAAGTTCAATGTCTTACCCTCAAAGATGACCCTCCATGGTGTAAACATGGATTTGTGGATGACCTGTGTGGGGTAAGTAGGATGATTCTGGTAGTTTTCATCTAAACGAAAGATGAAGGGTTGAACCATCCCATGGGCAAAACGGAAGGCAGCTGTAGCAAAAATGTTGGCAATGCCAGAATCCACATTTTCATCATAACCGGGGTAGGTAGACAGCTTCTTAGCCATGACATCTGGGCCAACAATGTGGCGAAGCCAGTCTCTGAAGGTGATAACCTGAAATACAAAAGAGAAATTGGGTTAACAAACTGAACATATCTGAGTTTGTAAACATATCCCATTGTCTCCATGTTTTCAAACCTTTGTCTCTGGGTTTGTGCTTTTCATGTCTCTTACCTGGTGGTACCCTCCCATGATCTTGCGTGCTTCCTGGTAGAATTTCTCTCCATCCCAGTGTGGGTTGAGCTGAGCTAGGGCTCGGGCTAGACGGTTGTGCTCTCTCATAAACAGAGTGTGTACAGAAGTCAGTCCAATGTTCTCATCGACACGATCATCACCTTCACGGCGAGATGGAATAAAGAGGCAGGGGAATATGTTATCAGCTTAAGGAAGCCTGAATATTTACTTTTTTTTCTTTTTTTTTTTGAGGTTTTACAAAAAGGGTTTATTTTGTTATCTCACCAGCAATAAAGCACTGCACCTCTTGAGCATTTTCATCATTGGTGATGCGGCGTCGGGTGGCACACATGTTGGCCCCCATGGTGGAGAAGGGCAAAAGCTCACGGCCATTGTCATTATAGTTTCCATTGACCTTCAACAGGCCCTGGTCTGTATTCAAGTCCCGAAGCAGGCGAGCCTTGCTGTCGTCAGCTCCATAAACCTGACCCACATCAAGGAAGGCTGTGAGCGTGTTCAACTGTTGGCGGGTGGTGCTGGAGCCAAAGATGTAGCCTGTGTTGCCAGAACCACAAGTTGGAGAAGAGCGGAAGAAGGGCATGCACTCCTCTGTGTGATCGCGGGGGTCATTCTTGGGGAACTGTTTAAAGTGAGAGATGCTCAGCTTTCCAGGTGTTTGTGTGTATTTCAAATATTTGTCTTTCATGTAGTTAGTTAGAAAGTGACGTTGAAATGTTAAAACCACTGACCTTGATGGAGTAACATGGCTCTGTGTTGGCGCAGGTCTTATCGCAGTCAATGCCCATATTAAATGATCTGATGGCTGGAGAGTGAGGGGTGAAAGTCAGGTCGTGGTCCGTCCACTGAGCAAAGATTGTCACCAGGAAAGTGTAAATAGGGTCGCCTTTCACATCAGCGTTAGCTGTTGCCAGGATACGGTTGGAAACATCCCTCACCTGAGGACAATATTGAGACAATGAGTTCAGGTGTTGCTGTGTCATTGTGCTGCTGTGTAAAAATGATAGACTATGAGAAGATTATACCAGGGGAAGGAGGAAATTGTTGATTTTCTTCCCATCAGTCCAGCCTTTAGGAAGAGAGATTCCATCTTCATACTCAGCCGGCAGCCAGCGGGCAAAAGGGATGTTAGAGGCGCCCCAACGGGGATTATTCCTAAATGAACAAGGTAAAAAAAACACATTTTTACTCCTTTTATGTTCTATATAAATGGATCGATAGTCCTTCAAAAATACAATCATTTAGAGCCCAATTAAATCAGAAACAATTTTTTTTTATTCATAAAATATTTTTATTTGTTTATTTATTTATTTATTTATTTATTTATTTATTTATTTATTTATTTATTTATTTATTTGCAAATTGTTGCCTCACTTGTTATTGCAGACACCGTTTGCAGTCCGGTACACATTCACGTTGGTAATATTGGCACAAGCTATTTGTCTTGTTTGTGCAGAGCAGCCTGTAAGTCTGGCTATCACTTGCAGGTCATCATTTGAGATCAGATCTAAGGAACACAAGGCAGGAAACAGAATTAGTTGTGGCTCTGACCTTTAAAACAAAACTGAAAATAATAATGACTACAGACCTGTAGCATTAATGGAGCGTTTGGGACGTTTTACCAGGGACCTTTTGATCAGATGAAGCGCGTTGTCCATATAGTCAGCTGCACGCACGAATCCACGGGACAGACCTTTAGGCTGCTTCAGAAGCCTCAGGATGTCTGCAGGTGTTACTGTGTCTCTCTTCACCCGGTCAACACTCCTGTGTGTGGAGGTCAGACTCATGAATACACTGATTTACAACATTTGCCTTCACTATAAAAAGCAAAACATAAATTTTTCTACACTCACGTTTGTCGGGAATAAGTGTAGATTGCATCCACATTGGCTTTAGCTTCGTTCACACACTTTTCAATAAAACTTTGGCTCAAATTGGCCTCTGAAGGTAAAGGGGTTAGACAATATTTAGAGGTTAAACAGTTGGTAAAAATAAATATGTCTTTTTTTTATTAATGTTACACCATTACTAAACTTTGAGTTGGCTCATATGCATTAAAATAAAAATTGAGTAAACACACAACTAAATAAATAATAGTGTAAGTACTCACCGGTCACCTGGCATAGGGTAAGACCCACAGCCAGCAGACCCACATAAAAATTCATCCCTGTAAAATAAAAAAATTACAATAAGCAAATTTTATAATAACATTTTCAGTCTAATCTGAGAAAAGACTGCTTAGTAATACTAGAATAACAAGTTTTCAAAATTAAAAAAGTCACCTATAGATAAAACTTGAATCTTTCGATGACTTTCTTCTTCCAGTTTGTCTTCTAGCTGCTGCAATAAGTTACTGCTGCTCAGCGTTTAACTCCCTTTTTCTTTTATACATCTCAGCATGTCACGTCACATACTATGTCGGGAATTTCACTCTTTAATTAGTTGATTTTCTGGTTCCTAGTTCCTTCTCCAAAGTACATCTTCAATGTCAAGGAAACACCCACGTGTCATCAGCATGACAAGATAATTATCTCTTTATACAGTAGGATTTGCTCAAATTTCAGACCAATTTCAAAACTTCCTTTCCTGTCCAAAATCTTGGAGAAAATATCTAAAAAAGTTAAATCTGGTCCTCTGGACTAGATTTTTCTACCTGGATTATTGAGCATGCATCAGGATTTCTTGGAGAAAATAGTTTTCATTCAATTAAACAAGTTTTTGAATGAGAATAGAATCTTCGAGATTTTTCAATCTGGTTTTAAGCAACTCCACAGCACTGTAACAGCATTAGTAAGGGTTTGTAACGACATTATGATATCAAAAGATTCTGGTCAATTTGTGGTACTTGTGCTCCTGGACCTTACTGCTGCTTTTGATACTGTTGACCACAGTATCCTTATATCACGGCTGGAACAGTGGGTTGGGATCACAGGTGCTGCATTAGAATGGTTCTGCTCATACCTGAGTGGCAGGAGTTTTTGTGTCAAGGTTGATAATAATGTATCGGCCTCATTATCTCTTTCTTGCGGGGTCCTACAGGGTTCGATTCTTGGACCCCTTCTGTTCTCACTTTATTTGCTCCCACTGGGGTCCATCCTGAGGAAACATGGTCTTTCATTCCATTGCTGTGCTGATGACTGCCAGATCTACCTGCCTGTAAAACCAGCGTTTGCTCCATTCACCCACTGTTAAAATGTCTGGACGACATTAAGGCCTGGATGGCTTCAAATTTCTCAAGTTTTAACAATGAGAAGACTGAAGTCATTGTCTTTAGCCCTAGCTCAACTGCCGCCACTGATCCTGTCAACCTGGACTCTCTTCAGCCATATCTTAAGCAGTCTGGTAAAAATCTTGGGATGGTTTTAGACTCTGACTTCAAGTTTGACAAACAAATTAACTCTGTTCTGCAGAAAAGCTTCTTCCAACTCAGACAGGTAGCTAAGCTCAAGCCAGTGTTGTCCAGACCCGACCTTGAGAAACTAGTCCACGCCTTTGTCATGACCCGATTGGACTATTGCAATGCACTCTATGCTGGGGTCAGCCAGGCCTCCATTTCACGTCTTCAGCTCATCCAGAATGCTGCTGCTCGGCTTTTAACTGGAACTCGTAGGTCTGAACATATTACACCAGTTCTGTCCTCTCTTCACTGACTCCCTGTTCATACTAGGATAGTCTTTAAGATTCTTCTGTTGACCTTCAAGTGCCTAAATGGCCTCGCACCCCTTTACCTCTTTGAGCTTCTGGAACCTTACGTTCCCTCTCGGGCCCTGAGAGCATCCGATCAGCTGCTTTTGGCTGTTCCAAAAACTAGACTGAAGCTCAGAGGAGATAGAGCTTTTTCAGTCATAGGCCCCAAACTCTGGAACAACTTGCCCCCCAACATCAGAAAGGCCACCTCCCTTCCTCACTTCAAATCTCTGCTAAAAACACATCTGTTCTCGCAGGCATTTCACACAGTGTAAATTGATCTAGTGTTTTTCTTTTAGTTTTTTTATCTGTGACCCTATGTTTTAAATGCTTTTTATTAATTCTTCAGTTATTATTATTAGTGTATTGTATTTTTTTCTCTTTAATTTTACTCTCATTGATTGTTGTTGTTGTTGTTGTTGTTGTTGTTGTTGTTGTTGTTAAGCACTTTGATAACAGGTTCTGTTTTAAATGTGCTCTATAAATAAAGTTGACTTGACTTGACTTGACTTTATATACATTTTTGATAGGATGAATTATTTTATTCATTTGTTTACAAACAAGTGATGGTAAAAGTTTTATAAGCAATGCAGTGGCATTTCAAATTTAAAAAGAGGAGGGGAACGAAGATCTTTTTACTGCCTGTTTTTAGTCTTTCATTCCAGCATACTGTATGCATTTTGGTGTTAAACTGTAAACTTTCCATTTTGGCAATAAAAAATATTATTGTGGGCTTTTATAGGTTACTGCATAAAATACAGTTTTACTTGCTGAGCTGCTGGCAGGAAATTTTACTCTAAATTTAAGCTTTAGATGTTTTCTATACAAGCTATATTGTGAAAGCAGTAATTTATTCACTTATATTTATTTACATGAAAGATACACTGGCTTGTGATGCCTAGTGGCTGGTTTACTCAAGGCTCTGTCACATTATAGCATTTCAGAGAACAAGTCGATGTAAGTAAATTATGTCCAACATGCAGACATACGCTGAAGATGGAATAAAAAATCAACTGGAAGCCCCTTTGTTTGGAAGCTTTTCTCATACACTTATACAAGCATATGTGGGTGATTTACGTTAATTTATGCAGAGCTTATGATCATCAGTAGTGTGCATTTGGATGAACTTGTGCACAGCGTTTCGGAGCGGATCTCGATGAGTGACGTATTGCGTATAAAAAAAATGACAAACACAATGACGTAAGTCATGTAAGTTTTGAACAAGTTACCAGCATATAAAATATTTAGAATAATTATGTAAATTTGTTTATTATACAGTTACAGCAAAATACTGGATTCAGCAGAACACAAATTTAAATTACAGTAATCTTTGTTTTTAATTATTTGAAAAAATGTGGCCCATTTTCTTTTGGCTGTTCCCTCTTCAGGGGGTTGCCACAATAAGTCATCCTCCATCTCACTCTGTCCTATGTGATCTCTGTACTCATGCCAGCTATTTCCATGTGTGTGTGTGTGTGTAGGGGGAGGGGGGGGCAGTTGATGCAGTGGTTAAGTGGTAATATCAGGGGTTTAGGCTTCAAATCTCATTGCGAACCTCTGAGCAACCTCAGTTACGCAATGAGCGAGAGACATAATATTGAGACCATGCCAGCTCGGACGTCACCCAGATTAATAAGGTTTGCAACAGATGTTAGGGAACCACAACATTCTGATGAGAAATGGGCTACTGGAACAAGACATGCATGGACAAGAGCAGAGAACTTAACCTAGAGAGAGGGGCTATAAGGAAGGATGTGGGAACTATAGAAACTTCGAAACCCATCATCTAGATTTACCCAGAAAATACTTTGGACTCAGTGTTCCAACATACGAGTAAGAAATGTGCTATCACACCTAGAGATTAACATGGTACAACAAAGATGAATGGGAACGGGAAGCCATAACTTTTTGCTTTATTGCCGTATGGTAGGGATGATGGAATACCACACGGTTTCATCATATCAGTGTATGGTTATCAAGCCCCACTGAAAAGCCCTGAAGAACTGAATACAAGTGTAGTTGACCTGAGAATGAAGATTTTTTTTCCAAGCTAGACACCTATAGCCTGCACCCCTTACCACTGGTAGGATTTATTGATATCAACCACTTCTTCTATTTGCTGGTGGTAGATGTGCAGGAGCTTCTCTTTCCATGATGGTTCCTTTTGTTCGTCCTCTTTGACATTGGGTTTTTGCTGCTGTAGTCAAGTCAAGGATCACTATGGCTTATTGGTCGCTGTGATGGTGTCCGTAGGGATACTTGGCAGTGCTGCATTCACATTTTCTTGCTCATTTTCGATGGTACTTTGTCACTTGGCTAGAGAGGTTTGGACTGAAGAACAGCACAAGAGCAGGCCTGCAGCACAATATATAGACAAGGGGGTCCGCCATACTAGACAAGACCCAAGATGCAGGCTGTGCAAAGATGCCCCTGAGACTCCCCGAGGAATTATATTTAAAAACAGCTGTGCCAAAAGTCTGCGATGGCAGAATTGGTAGAGTTGCTGCCTCTCAGCAAGAAGGTTGCCAAATAAAATCACGACTGGGGGGCCTTTCTGGGTTGAATTATTATGTTCTCTCTGTACATGATTGGGTTTTCTCCAGGTAGGTAGGTCTAAGACACTTGCTTTTTAATCCATTTAGTGCTCAAAAGTTTACACATATGTGACACTTTTACAGTAAAAACCTGACCTGCAACTGAGCTGAGTTTTCCATACACCTCGTCATTTCATATCTTGGTTTATTTTGGACTATCCTCCATACAGAAACATAACATAAATCATAAATAACACATTTTTTTGTGTTGTGTACCATTAAAGAAAACTAACCCATCGTCTTGTGATAAAATGACGAGATTCTCATCCATTATAAGAATCTTTAATCTAAGATATCTTTTTGTCCATGTTGATGATGTATTATTATATTTGAAAAAAAAATTCCAGTGTTTGTGTATTTATGTATTTGTTGACACCATATTTATGTGAGAGAAACTGTCTTATAAGAATAAAAACACACTGCTCTGGAAATGTGCAAGGGACAAAATAAAATCTAATCTAGACTAATCTAATTTCCTGGTGTTGACTGGATGGGGCAGTTCTTGTGTGGGTAAAGTTCACATCCCTTTACACTTTTGTCTTGCTTTTTCCTTATTGCTGTAAAGATGCAAAGAATGTTGATGCTGATTGACTGTATTTGCAGCATAGTTTACCAGCTAATCAGGATGTTAAAAGATAAATTCTTTTTTACTGGAAGTAGTTTTTATAACAATTCCACAAATGCCGATGGGAATTTGCTTGATTAATTCATTCATTTATTTGGTCTTCTTGTTGACCGTGTTTCAGTATGCAAGTATTTAGTCTTGTCAGTTTCCTTTTAAATGTGAGATTAGTTCACGTGCGAACAATAGACAAATGTAAAAAGATTAACTCTACTGACTTTGTCCAATCTCATAACTTTTATTCTGGAGTGAATAAAAAAAT